AATTCTTAATGATTTTTATAATACAAAAATGCCTACTGATATGTTATTATTATGGTTTAAAATATAAACATTTTATATTAGATGTTAAACATAGATGTAATTCTACTTATGCTATGTTAGAAAGTTGTATTTCTTACAAACAAATTCTTAATGATTTTTATAATACCAAAATGCCTACTGATATGTTATTTGAGGAAGATTGGGAAATTTCAATTTGTATAAGAAATTTCTTAAAACATTTTTATGATGCAACTAATGAATTATTGGGTATTTATTATCCAACTAGTTGTAATTTACCTTATCAGTTAATGGTGATTAGTGATTGTTTTGCAAAATATAGAAATAATCCACAATTTAAAAGTATTTTTGAAATAATAGGAAATAAATTTAAAAAATATTGGGAGAACATTTCTCCTATTTATTGCTTAGCTACAATATTAGATCCTAGGATTAGGAAAGATGGTTTAGATATTTTACTTGAAACATATTATGAAAATATGAATATTAAAATTGGAAATAAAAAAGAAGAAATTAATAGTTTATTGTTTGAAATGTATAATTTATATGAATCTGAAGTAATATGAAATAATTCTACAAGTTGTACAGTTGCATCTTCCACTTCTGAACTTGAGCCTAGTAGTAGAAGAGAAAAAGTTTTTTATTTAATAAGTAGAAGGAAAAAATCCGCTATCTCAACAACAAGTTCATTTACTGAATTTGATTTTTATTTACAAGCAAATTTTTCTACTTTAGGTGAGGGAACAAATAATTTTGATATTTTAGCCTGGGGGAGTGAACATTCAAAAAGTTATCCAGTTCTCGCTGCCATGGCACGCGGTCTACTAACCCCTCTAGTATTTATAGTTCCATTAGAATCTTGTTTTAATGCAGGTACTAGGGTGTTGGACAACAAGAAAAGCTGTATGAATGATGAAATTCTAGATATGTGCATTTGCTTTAAAGATTGGCTAGATGCTGAAGATAGATTACAAGACAAAGGAGGGCATGACGCCACACCCGATATTTCACCTAAAGCAGATGATGAAAGTCATGAACAATAGGAGAAAATTAGAAAATGATAAAATCAATATTTTTGTATACTCACTCAATAGTTGTATATCATTTTTTCAAATTATTGTAAATTTTGTTTTACTTTTATTTAATTTATTTGCTATTTTTTAATAATGTAGTTTTGTATTTTCAATTTGTAACTATGTTGTATTTTTTATATTTTATTAATTTATTCTATTTTCCAATTTTCATATTTCATTCATCCAAGTATCCAACCATTGTATGCTTTGTAATTTGTATTGTTCAAATTTAAATGAAATAAAATTCTTATCTTTCTTTCAATTTGTTATTCCATTTTTATTTGGTTTAGTATTTTTTTTTCATTTATTTGTTAGATTTCTCATTTCTTATTTTTTCAAATAGTTCCCAAAGAAAAGTTAAATATTTTAAGCCCTGTTTGGTTCGCAGGAATAAGGGTCTGGAATCGGAATCGGAATGGGTTATTCCGATTCCAATTGTTTGGTTGGGTGGAATTGGAATCTCATTCCCATTCCTACCGGAATGGCATTTCCTGCCCCTCCCTTGGAGATGAAATCCCATTCCTATTGATTTTAATTCTCATTCTCATTCCTGTCTGAACCAAATAGATTATGGGAATGGGCATTCCGATTCTAATTCCAGAGAATTTCGATTCCAATTCCAATTCTGATTCCGACTACGAATCAAACAAACACTTAGTTTTACTTAGCAAAGAAATAAAAAAATAAAAAATGTTAAAAAAAAACAAAAAAGAAGTAAAAAACTAGTTTGGCCCGGTTCAGCCCATGCCCATGGCTTGGCTTGTGGCATGGCCCGGCACAACCCAGGCCCATTGCATGGACTACAGTCCGCGGCACAGCCCACACTTTGCGTGGACTACCCACAGGCCGGATTAGGTAAGTACATTATTACTTTCAAATTTTTTTTGACACCTGTCTCTTGAAATACCCTCAATCTACCCTTAATAAAATTAAAAACAACTTTTAACAATTGTAAAAATATTTACAAATGCTCGTATATTGCGCCTACTAGATCCGCCAGCAAGGCCCAAACTACATTACTCAACTGAATGTTCCTATGTAGTTTGTGGATCCGCTAGGGTGGATTCAAAGTCTGAAACTACATTACTCAACTAAAGAAGAAAAAAAAAACTACTAAAAAATGTCTCAAACTAAGGAATTAGAAAGCTAACCCAGGAAGTCTTCAGTCCAAGAATTGCACAGAACCGGTCATTGTTTTCAAAATCGGATTGGACCGGACGGTCGGACTGAAAAAATTGAGACCGGTTCCGCTTTCCTCCAAAACCGCTTTTACCCCCAAAATTGTTGATTTTGGTCAGCAGACCGTTGAACCGGCTGGTTAACCATTCAAACTGTCCGAATCGTTTTGACCGTTTTCCAATTTTTTAATTTTTGTCAAAACGGGCCGGCCATTCGGGTCGAACGGTCCAACCAGTTCGAACTGGTAACCGGCCCCTGATCGGTTCGATCACTGGCCCATTTTTAAAAACCATGGAACCGGTCCTTTCTAAGCTAGAACAATGTTTTAAAAAGTACTGAGAAAAAAATATAAAAAATAATTAAAATAAAAATGGTCAAAAACCGTTAAATGAGTCGAACGTGTTGACGGTTCGACTGCCTAGGTCAATGGGTTGTTGACCAATTCAACAGTTTTTTTATCAAAGTTCGGGTTTAGGGTAAAACGGAACTAGTTTGCCTCCCTCTTAACATGTGAAAAATGAACAGTTTAAGCAGTTTTACACAAAAAAGCACCCACACCTTTATAAGAAAGCCAGTGCACTACTAGAGGTTGTCACTCTCTAAAACAACTTTTGAAAAAGTTCAAAGACTAGGCCAACAGGAGCCCTTCAAAGCAAGCTAACACTTCCCCTTGAACTGAAGTGGATATAGATAGCGGACCACATTTAGCAGCAAAAACATCTACCCTGATTGTCACGAGCCAAAACACCAGAACTTGTGGATCCAAATCAGCGTCCACATTGATTTTTACCCAATCATCCTTAGGGGGACACCACGAATAGCTATCAGCTCCGCTTCCGGAAGCTAAGGCGTTGTATTGGTGATAACAAAACTACCTGAGTCAAGTCAGTAACTCCTTCCACTAATGCTACACCGTGCAGTCGATTTGGGTTAGAAGCTCTAAAAAAACAGTCATTTCTCATCATTCATCATATATTCTAGAAAAGAAATTTAGCCAACAAATAAAAATTTATTTTCTTATTTTAATTATAAAATTATTTATTATTATATACAAAAATTAATATAATGTAATTAAATTCGATTAGACTCGTGAGTTTTCTGAGTCAAGCTGCTTCATTGAGCTCGATGAACCAATGAACTTTTATATTTGGTTTAAGCTTGATTTAAAACCTGATCCAAATGGAGCTTTTCAAGAACCGAACTCAAATAGCGTATAAAAGACTTGATTTGTGTCCAGTCCACCCCATAATTGGAGACCCATTGCTCTATATTTATGAGTAAGAATTAGCGGTTCATAAATTGCACTTGCTTAACGATCACATCAAAAGATCAATAAGTCATCCATTGGGCGGTGTAGCCTCAAACAACCAGGCAACTATCTCTTGTATTTTATGTCACCGATATTTTCCATGTGTGCGACTGGGTGAACCTGGCTAGCTGTGGCCAGCAAGCATTAGCAATGTGTCGTTGTGAATAGATCGGGGGTTTTCAATGGGCTAAAAACTTAAAGCCATTTCTAAGAAGCCTTGATTTCAATTTTCAGACCCCCGATCCAAGAAATGGCCTATAGCCTATAACAACTCATCATTTTGACACTCGTCTTCCTACAATTCATTCTGCCTACAATCAATCAAATGGTCTCTCTCTCTCTCTGTCTTTGAAAGTTCCAAAGAGAAAAAAAGGGTCAAATGGGTTAGGTGTTGCATCCTTTCAGACTCTCTCCCAAAAAGGCACCTCCACCTAATGAAATGAGTTGTTAATGGGTTGAAGGGTGGTGAAATCCCAACCCATCCAATTGCCACCTGCTGCACCATTTGTTCCATTTTCAATTCTCACATAAATGATTCATTAATTTGTGCTTTATGTAGACTAGCGGCGACTCCTGGTGCATTTGGCATAACTACTGATCAACATTAGTATCAAGAAACTATCAAGATTTTAATTTAATTAATGCCACATTACTACTCACTAACCTCCATTCCCAACCCAACATCATTTCTCTACTGCATATTCCACCGTGCCAAATCCACATCTACCCTCCTAAAGGGAACTCACAGTCCATTACTCCCTCCAAATTTAGCTGCTCATCCCCTAAACCTACCCCACCTCATTTTATCTAAACTAGACAAATGTAAAAATACAAGTGAATTCAACCAAATCCATGGCCTCATCACCACCACTGGTATGTTTCTCAATGTCTTCTTCGCAACTCGTCTGCTCATCACAGCTGCCTTCTCTTTACATCCTCCAAACCTCCCTTTGCCGTATCTCCTCTTCAACCAAATCCCAAACCCCGACGTCTTTTCCTACAACATCATGATCAAAGCCTCCATGCTCACTTCAAACCCACTCAGTTCCCTCTCCTTCTACCACAATATGCTGCTCCAAGGTCTCCACCCAAATGAGTACACATTTTGCTTCCTACTCACCTCATGTTCCCGTGCTCCGGCTCTCCAACAGGGCAGACAAGTCCATGCCCATTTTATAAAGCATGGTTTCGACGTTGGGACCTTCGCCAGCACGTCTCTCGTGCACATGTATGGTCAATGCGGGGACCTCAGCGACGTCGCACGATCGTTCGACGGAATGCGTCACAGAAGTAATGTCTCATGGGGTGCAATAATCGACGCCTATATCACCCGTGGGCTTCTTTCGGACGCCTTGCGATTATTCGCGGAGATGAGGAGTTTAGGGGTTCATGCCAGTAATGCGACTTTGGTCAGCGTCTTAAGCGCTTGCGCTAAGGTTCAAGATTTGGCACTTGGAAGGATGATTCATGGCCATGCTGAAGTTAGGGGCATGGAGCTCAATGTGATCCTAGGAACCACCCTGGTTAACATGTACTCCAAGTGCGGAGCCATAGAGGCGGCCATGGACGTCTTCTCGACCATGCCCACGAAAAGCGTGATGTCGTGGAGTTGCATGATCAATGGGTTGGCCATGAATGGACGTGGCCAAGCGGCCATCGAGTTATTCAGGGAGATGCAGAGGTTAAGGCTGGAGCCCAACAGTGCAACACTCGTCGGGGTCCTAAATGCATGTAGCCATGCAGGGCTAATAGATGATGGATTCGCGTACTTCTCGTGCTTGAGTGACACTTACCGCATTGAGCCAAATGTCAAGCATTATGGGTGCATGGTGGACCTCTATGGCCGAGCAGGGCGGCTTGAGGAGGCGGTAGAGGTAGTCGGAGCCATGCCGATGAAGGCCGACGCTGGAATTTGGGGAGCTTTGCTTGGGGCGTGCAGAGTTCATGGTAATACCAAATTGGGAGAGCTTGTAGCAGCGCAGATCATAAAAGTACAACCCCATGGTCTATCCGGATGCACAGGTCTCTCCGATATGTATGCCATGGATGGTCGGTGGGATGACGCCGTTGGAGTTAGAAGGATGATGATGGACGTGGATATTGGAAGAGAAGCTGGATGGAGTGCCATTATGTAATCTAATTAACTAATTGCATGATGCATTAGTTCACCCAGGACCTAGCAATGCATCCAACACCAATACTGCTATAAAGAATCTGTGTGAACAAGGGTGCATGACATGGACATGAAGGAGAGCCGAATCCTCCCCTGTAAGTATTGATATTCTGATTTAACTTTTATGACATGGACATGAAGCCAAGGCAAGTATCGGCATTATATATAGTAAAAATTTTCTTCTGCTTTCCCACCTCCTACCCATTTCAAGCTTCCAATGTCAAGCAAGCCTAATGACTTGCTTGCAAAAATTCACCTTTGTAGAGATACCTAATGACATAGAGGGAATGAACTAAAGTGTTGTAATCTTTAAATCATGAAAACAGCCTCTCTATGTATTTGCAAAGGTAAGGCCGTGCACTGGGCTGCCCTTTTTTGTTGTATTCTTTAAAAAACTTAAGGTGCTCTTCTTTCTTCCCTGGTCCCTACCCATACCTTCTCAAGTTATTCAATTAAGTTTTACAATTTCTTAAGACTCATCTTCCAATAGATGCAACAAGCAATCTGAGTCAAGATCATTCCCTACTTCTTTCATGTGTTGAACAAGCATTTCCAACCCTCTGTACACCATCTCAATGTGGGAACCCACCTTGTCACCAACTACAAAGCTATATACCTGATTCCCTACCTCAATCCAACTCACTCCTGCCTCTTTCTTACACCCTATCCCTCTCATCAACTTCCTCACTTTTGCAAATTCCCCCCACTTACCATCAGCAGCATAAATATTTGATAGTATAACATAAGTATCAGCTCCATTAGGCCTCAAACTTAGAATCTTCTGAGCAGCCAATCGACCAAGATTTGAATCTCCATGTGCCTTGCAAGCTCCAAGCAATGCGCTCCAAACAGATACATCAGGTTTGAATGGCATTGCCTCTATCAGTTGATAAGCCTCCTTGATCCTCCCAGCACGTCCAAGCAGGTCCACAACACACCCATAAATTTCTTGATTTGGGGTTACATGGTAATTGGTAGCCATAGAATTAAAATAATTCAAGCCTTCAGATACAAGTCCAGCATGGCTACAAGCACTAAGAACCCCCATAAACACAATTTGATCAGGTCTGATACCAGAATCCAACATCTTGTTAAACAGTCCAATTGCCTCTTTTCCATATCCATGGGTTCCATATCCCATCATCATTGAAGTCCAAGAAACCAGGTCTCTTTGAGGCATCTCATCAAAGATTCTGCGTGAATCATCTACACATCCACATTTTGCATACATATCTATAAGAGCATTATCTAATGGTAAGTTCCCTTGAAGTCCTCTTTGGAATATCCCTCCATGAATTTGTTCTCCGCAATTCAAAAGTGCCAAATTAGCACAAGCTGCTATGACACTGGTAAATGTGAAGCAATTCGGGCTAAGACCCTCTGATAGCATGTGCAAAAATAGGTTGAGAGACCAATCAGAACCAGATTTTTCATATCCAGCAATCAATGTGTTCCATGTGATCAAATCTTTCTGTGGAATTTCATGGAAGTAGCGTTTTGCTTCAGATAAACTATTGCACCTACAGTACATGTCTAATAAAGAATTTGCAACAGGGAGGTTGAAGTCAAAACCACATTTGATCACCATAACATGCATCTGCTTGCCGAAAGATGGGATGCCTATAGAAGCACAAGCTCTGATTGCAATGGAACAGCTGAAAGGATTCAGGTCCACACCCTCCTGTTTGTAATGAAAAAGCAAGAGTAAATTAGATATTCAATAGTGTGCGAGAGGATGAAACTTAGAAGTTGAAATTACTGAAATATGAATACCCATTTATCTCTGTTAGTTATTAAACAGCTTGAAGAGACTGCTGGGGAGTGTATCTAGAAAGATGGAGAGGAAAAATATAACTGCATCTTTAAGTAAAAGGCTCTTTTTGAAGCATTGAAGGGGGACGGCCTCATTCTCCTTAGAAGGTAAAGGTCACCTGTAATCGAGAGCAATTACTAATTCCACTGTATGGAAGACTGCAAAGGAAAGAACAACTGTATCATATGTGTCTTTAGATGATTAGGATCCATTTAGTAATAGCTAAAGAAGCTGAACTGAATGACTTGTTGATTTGCCTTTTTCTTTTGGTAATTTAGGAAAAGAACTAGAAGCCCCTACCGGTCTACCGGGCATGGGGTGTACCACGACCCCACATATCACCACTATTGATTTGCCTTTTAGTGGATAAAATAGTCATAGAATAAAATATGTAGGGGTATAATAATCAACATGTAATTCAGCCATTAAGGTTAAGGTGGATTCAAAAAAAAAAAAACAGCCATTAAGGAGCTCAACAACTTATTTAATGTCATTCAGCCATTAAGCAATGAGTCATTCAATTCAGCCACCTTAGTTGCTCTAAAATGACCCCGTATGGAGGTTTTATGACTATGAGAATCATAGGGGAAAGGACAAGCTTCCAACAAAACTTGGTGGTGGAATTAATAGATTCGTAAGGTCATTTGAGAAAAACGATTGCTTTAAATAAAAGAATGTAAAAAACCTTGGCAAAAGAGTAGAAATGATGAAAACTTCAAAATTTACAAAAAAAAAAAAAAGCTAAAAGGAAAGTAAAAAAGTAGTATGAGAAGCTAAAATTGAGGCATGTGATAAACTTCATCTGTTCATCATAAGCTAAGGACCAGGGACACAGGGAGGGAAAAAATAATGTTTGTAAATTAACAAAGATGGCAAAGAAAAAACTTGGCAACAGAAAAATTGGGAAAGTGGTTTGTGTTGCTGTTTCTGTAGATAGGATGGGATGGGAACGAGAATTGGAATGGGATCTGGTTATCTGGGCTTGTACTCCAGTCCAGGCCTATTAGCGAAATGGGCTATAAATTGGGTTTGGTTTTTAACTAAAAATTAGCTTAGGCCCACCAAAAATAACAATGCATCATCGAATCGAAGTATGGAACCACGTTTGAGCTGAAACTGAAATACCCTCGTGGCTCCAGAATTCAGATCAAAACATCATCATCATTACCATCACAGTAATAATCATAAGAATATTGTAGTAATATATAAGTTTTTGTTTATTTAGGAGATTAGAGATGATTTTCACAGTTGAAGTGTTGAACCTGAATCATTCGCCTGAATACTTGAAGTCCACCATAGACATCTCCTCTGTGCGTGTATCCGGTGATCATGGTAGTCCACGAAACGGCGTTCTTCTCACGGATATGCCGGAAAACCATGTATGCATCGTCCATGCTAGGACAACACGTTGCGTACATGTCCATGAGCGTGTTCTCCACGTATATGCATCCATCCAGGCCGTGCTTGAGTGCCAAACCATGAACCATGAGCCCACAGGAACAAGATTCCATGCCTTTGCACGCCTTGAGAACGCTTGATATGGTAAACTCATTGGGGTCCATTCCTTGGCTTGTCATCTGGCAGAACACGGCCCATGCGTTGGAGTAAAGACCACGAGAAGTGTATCCAGATATCATGGCCGTCCATAGTACGACGTCTCTGTTGGGAATTTCGTCGAATAGTTTACGTGCTTGTTCAAGCCGTCCCCTGTGGAAATATGAGGTGACAAGTTTGGTGGCTAAAATTGAGGATGCTTCGGTAGGAATGGGTAGATGTAGATCATTTGAGTGGTGCGCAGCGAGTCCGCGGGTCCAAACCAATGGAAGTCTGATGTGTGGTGGGACTAAAGGGAAGTGAGAGTTGGAAAGTAATCTAGAGATATTCATCTAAGGTTTGTGCAACGAAAATTAAACCAACCACCGAACACGATGTGATCATCTCATATTGTTTCACTCTTCATTTCTACGATCAATGTACAATAAAAGTCGTTGACAGGAAGATAGAAAGACCACGGTCCACGGGGCGGGGGAATGCTGTATATGAAGGTCTATCGGGTTGGATGATACCATACAGATAACAGCCTAGTAACTTTGGGAACGAAGGACTGTGCTGCATTTGCACCTGCCACCCCACCCCAGGCCCATAGACTGAACTAAAGACGATGACACGGTGGAAGCCCATAATTGTGATTGGATCGGCTGCCCACTAGCGCGCCCCACTGCCCATCCCATCCGCGCACGGGGGATATCTCCCCCACTTGTCATGGGGACTGGGGAGATACTCCCAATGCACGGATAGATGAGCTGTGGTGCGCGCTCTGTGGGCAGCGGACCCCGTCCCGGAATAACTTGTCCTTGGGCACCAGTCTTTGGTGGAGTCCCAGTAAAGACTAAAGAGAGATTGGTATTTGGCGTTTGTGGTTTCATACATACAAGGCTCACCTCAACTTATCCCACATACGGATCTGCTCTTCACACCGATCGACTTCACAATCACATCCCACCATATATTTCCGTATTAAGAACATCTCTCTATGAACAATATATTCAAAGTACTCCCGTTGTTGTGGGAGGAGCAGATTAAGAATGCTCTTCACACCGATTTCACAGCTCCATCCCACTATCTATTGGAAACATCTTTCCTTGAATGACAATATAAAGTATGGGAGATGTTCTCGATGTGAGCCCTAGACGCATTGTGAAGTTGGTGTAAGGAGTGCTCTATGAGGAGAGGAGATCTGAATTCGCCCCACACCACCAGTGACACATACATAAGTCCCATTGGTTCAATGCATGGTTTTCAAAACCGGACCGGATGGTTAGATCGAAAAACCAGGAACCAGTCACTTAACTCGTTCCGTTTCACCCCAAAACTACTTTTTGGCAAAAAACCATTGATTTTGTCAACAAACTGCCAACCTGAGCAGTTGAATTATTGAATCATTGTCTCAAACAATGGCGGTTTTTTGTTGTTTTTTTAATTATTATTATTTTTTAATTTTTTTTATTAGAACAGACTATCCATTTGAGCCAGACAGTCAAACCATTCAACTCGAAAACCAGTCTCCAAAACGGTTCCTTATCCAATCCGATTTTAAAAACCTTGACTCTGGTGCGAGGCATTATCCTCACTCCTCATTTGTTACCCATAAATTGTTCTCACATTCTTACCCCTCATTTGTTATCCACGAACTGTTCCCACCTCTTTATCTACAAAACACTACTCTATTGAAATATATTTCCATGAATGACAAGGGAACTGTAATTTTCTGTGGGCAGAGATGTTGGAACAGCTTGATGATAGTACATCAAACCCCAGGAAGAGTCTGGATCAGCTATCAATGACACAATTTCAATGTACAGCTGTAATGAGTTGTTGGAACCGTGTGTTGGTTACTGATCCTTTTGAGACGTTCATCCACCGTCTAAAAAAATGTGCTAAGGTAACAATTATTTTAACCCAAAACTTTACTTCAGGTAGGGGGGCGATGGTCTAAATTTTTAATAGTTATCCAGTGCATTTCCTTACCCACTCAATCCTGCCCAAAAGCAAACACTAAAACAAAAACATAAAAACCATCAATAAATACGGAGAAGAGGAAATTTCATATGATTTTCTTGAGCAAATTCGTAAGCTCACATTGGAGCTCCTTGAGAAATTAAAAAACATAGTATCTCCTCTTGGATATGCCCATGTTGGCAAAAAAAAAAAATCAGCGCACTTGTTTACTTTGTGAAAAACTAAAAAGTTGTCGATACATCGGTTTTGAGTTGCGACCTATCAAATCAAAATCAATTTAGATGGATTCTAAAGACCAATAAGACATATTGAATTGGACCAGTCTAAAATTAATGATCCAAAGTATTTATGGGGTTGGATTGGATATGGTGCATCTGTTAGTATATGCCCTTAGCTCTAATCAGATTGATATACATTATGTTATTTATTGTAAATAAATAAAAGTGCATAATTGATTCATGTAATTTAGTGCGTTTCTGTGTAAATACCCTTAAACTGGACATTTATGAGACTCGTGTTAGTTTAGAATCTTCACAGTTGTTGGATAGATCTGGGGAGATTTATCTTGTCAATGCTGATACTGATGTACTACCAAGTTGGTTGGAGTGGCTTGTCTTAGCTGCCAGAGTGAGACCTGAGGTACATACAGTGTGGGTTTTCTTGAAACTGAATCGGACCAGATTCCAGTATTGCCCTGGACCTTGGAGATAGATGGACAAAACTGGATTGTTACACCTGACCCCTACACTCGATTATGGTACTTCACTAGGTGTCGGATTGGGTTGTCTTTGATATGTGAATCAGTGAGATCCTTAGAGGGGGTTAAAACCTGGGTATGTTGGGACAGTCCAAGAATTCATCTGAGTGGGTGATCTTAGTGATAGGATCAGCCCCTTTGTCGGACAAAGTGAATGATCGGGGAATGCACTCTCTGATGGAAACCTAAACTACCGGTAGTGGATTTCAAATGTGTTTGAAATTTGGTTTTGCAAAATGTATTTATATAGAGATATACTTGTATATTATGGTTTCAAATTGTTTGTAAAAAGGTTTTAATTCCCGGAATCCATGTGAGTAGAGAGTGCAGCATTGTACCTTGTTACCGAGGGAGAGGTCATCTCTTGTCGGGCAGTATATGATCATTAAGGGTTGAGAGGTTAAGTATAAGACCATTGAGGGTAATACCTAATGGGCTAATCTTGCATCTGCCCATAGTCATTGGGTAAGACCCAATGACTATTTAGTGTAAATGTTGGGCTCATTAAGTATAAGACCATTGAGGATAAGACCCAATGACCATTTAGTGTAAATGGTGGGCTCATTAAGTATAAGACCATTGAGGGTAAGACCCAATGACCATTTAGTGTAAATGGTGATGAACTTAGGGGTTCATTGTATTTTACAGTGAATTCGGCCAGGCCTTGTAATAGAGGCTGGGTTGAACCCATGTGGTTGATGTGTAGATCGATGTTAGGGTCCCACGTCATACAAAGAGAGACAAGTTAGCCAGCAAATTAAAGGGTAAGTGAGTAATATGACTGAATGGGCCTAAAACCCATTTCGAACTGGGCTTACATAAATTAATTAAAAGGGGGCAAAAATCTGATTTATATCCTGATTAGGATTAGCTTAAGGATAAGATAAGTCTTATCCATTTAAGAGTCCAGATCCAAATATTAGATTTGGATCAATAAACTCTCTCCTAATTGGATAGGAGGCTGATCCAAAGAAGGCTATAAATATGTGGTGAATTCTCCATTTGAAAGACACTCTCTCATACTCAGCAACTTGCAGAATTCTCCCCAGTTCTTGTTGCCCTACCCAATTCGATTTCCACTTATGGAACTGATCAAGAAAGGTTCTTGGTATTGTTTATTGCTGGAAGAAACAATCTGAAGTCGTGCTCACCAGCCCTTGTTCGATTCTTACTGAAGAATTCAGGTTCTTGCTGAAAAACCATCATACTGATCCTGCTTCACCATACACTGTGTCATCTTTAGTGGAGGCGGGTTTTGGTCTTCGCCTTGGGCGTGGACACCTACATTGAGAGTTACTTTTACTTTGTATCAAGTATATCCCTCACTTCCCTTTTGGTTTCAAATTTGATCTGGTTTTGATTCAAGAACGACCATTGAAAATGTAGTTTTCTAAATTAAGGAATATGATTCTCGGATGAAAGTGAAAGAAATTTTGAAATTTCGCCCAACTTTCCTATAATGTTCGGCCATTCATATGATGGACCTCTCATCCCTTCACCATATGTATTGGATTTATATTGAATTAGATTGGATTGAATCAATATCCAATCCATTGATAAAAGAAAAGAATACAAGTGTTAATGAACCATGTTTGTGTTCAGCTTGAATAGTCCAGACATTGAATTGAGTTGGATCCAAAATGGTCTAAAATATTCATCAGATTAAATTGAACCTAGTCCATTTATAATAGATTCATGTTAGATCGAATCAGATTGGACGAAATCCAGTCTAATTGACGCCTTTATATATGAATAAAGGACTTTGGCCTCGTAGAATCCTAAGTAATAAGGGACCACAGACAAGGAACTTTCTCAAGGAGAACTTCGGCTAAGCACTTGTTATCACTCTCCAACTCCACCTCATTGATACCCTTGCTGTTAACGGACCCCGTTTACATGCAGCAGTAGTAGTTGTAAAAGGCAAAACAGCAGGCCCCATTTGCATCACAACTCACGTAACAGTATGCTACTCTCTTTTCGGGAATCATCAGGAGGGTACGAAATACAAATTCTGAGGCTAAAATTCTTCCAGCGTTATACTATGCCAATCACTTAACAAGGGAGTGTGATTTATATCCTTTTCGGGTGGAGGGTCTTACCATTGTCGTATTGATTGGACTGATATATTTACAATCATCACGGTTAAAATAAAACTAGAGAAAATTTTGGTTTTCGAATTTTAAAATACGATAATTTAATATTCATATTTTTAAAATGCGACAATTCAATACCTGTGTTAAATAACGGTTAATCAGTCGTTAAGTGATATTTGAAAAAGACATAAATGTTATTTAAATTTTTTTATCAATTATTCAAAAATTAGTAGTTCTAAATCTTTGCTTCTTCTATTAAAGAAAGTTGAAATCACCATAATGCCCACTCAAACAAACATAACCTTAACATTCTTGAATGGAAGAAACAATGACACTTGAAGGGCATTTGTATCTTTTTCAAATGTCACTTAATGGCAGGTTAAATGCTAATTAATGGTAGGTATTAGATTGTCATGTTTTGAAAATGCGGGTATTGAATTATCGCAAGTTTTAATATTTAATGACCAAAGTGGCACTAGACACAAAGTACAGGGTACTAATTGGGAATTTTCCCTTAAAACTATATTTAAGTGTTTCTTTTATTTTAAGGGGTAGAGTTCCTACTTCAATGGTTGGTTTTAAATTAAAACACCTGAGGTTGTGTTTGGTACTATATAATTATAGCTGTTTTTTTCTTGAAGTATTTTTCATGGATTGATCAATATAAATTGGTGAATTATGTATTGTCATATCATATTTGAGAGTTATTTCAACTAGAATGATTAGATTTCGTTACCAATTTGATGTTTCTATAAATAGCCTTTCAACTATAAATGGACTCAAATAACAATTATATGCCAATTTACCTAAAACATTTTAAATAAAAACAGCAATGGTACCGAATACCATCAAAGCACTAATGACTCATGACTTGTTTTAGCTAGGCGTACATTTGAAATTTGAAATATCCACACCCACAAGCACGAATACCATCAAAGCAAAAGAAAAGCCCAAATTGATAAATCCATTTCGATGTTTGTATATGATCCCTAAAGCAGAAATGGCGATGTTCCCATTGTACAGCTATGCATTGGTAACATCTTCCATGTTTATAAGTTA